CACTTGGGGAAGATGTCCATTCTGGAAGACAGTAGACTCTAATGAGTGATCTCTGTTATATTTCCCTTTATGGTGAGATAGGTAGTTTGCAAACCAACATATAGTTGGCACCCAGAGAACAGTTTACAAACATCTCAATTTTATACCGAACGTCAAATCGCTGATTGAAACCCAAGGCATTTGAGTCCACAGTAGAAATCTTAAAAGCGCCATTTTAAAATCTTCCTTTCTGCCACAAACTAGAAATATTCGGGCCTGGCCAGTATCTATCTATCTTGTTGCTTTGCACAGTTTCGTTTGTGCCATACAATAGTAAACACTGAACTTTTTAATCTGTAATTACACATGTTCATATTGCAAGTACTTGTCTATAGACATTTCACTTCGTGACAATGCAGCCGTGACAACACCTGTGTTTTCAAAGGTGGTTATTGTGACGTACAAGCCCTGATCGACCAATCTCTTTCCTATATTTTCTATATTCATTGAAGAATGTACCAAAACGCCGATGTAACATTTTATAAAAAACGTATTCCTGATGTGTTAAAAGACATATTAAGCATTTCATGTATTCCAACTTTGCATTGTCCGCTTGTCCAACTATTTCAAATAAGACATATGTCTGTGTCCTCAACACAGTGTCTTGTAGAGTTAGCCTCATTGTAGAATAACAACTAGTGTCTGACATTCACATATTTTCAGGACTGATGATTCCTAAACTATATTAATTATATGTTAGATTAATTAAATATAATAAAGGTGCTCGGAGACACATATAGGAAAGCAACAGACCGTGAAGATCTGCGTTAGAAAAAGTCGCAAGAGTCGACTATCGGCATCGGATGGTCAGGATCTCTGACTTGGTCGACACATGTTATTGTATCCAAATTCCGTGGATGATAAATATAGGTTATCACGCGAGTGTGGTTTGGGATGGTTAATATCCTGCATTAGGAATAATCATTGTATTAGCGAGCCTTGGCGAGACACGAACGGACACGACCGCCGACCCTTGACGCCATGTTTGTTTACACTGTGAAAGTAGTCCCTGAAATTTGCATATGACCTTTCTAATTTGCATCGATATCCGTATATGACCCCAACGGATACCGAAAATATCCGTGTGCTTTATCCTGCCGAGAACACTACCCATTGTATGATAATACAGTTGATCACTGGATTGCTTGGTCCAGTCTTGATTATTTTCAGACTATCATGATATAGCTGGAATATTGCTGACTGCAGCGTTTCACAACAAACAAGAAACAGCAACAAAACTTACAAATTACAACACGCGACAGGCTGTTTTTCAGAACTGACGCCTGTTGATTAGTGCTACTCCCGTGTCTGTATATGCTTGTCCTCCTTTATGTCCACGAAATACTGGTCGCCCGACAACATATCCACATTCTATCCACAACACACAGAGGCGAGGCGGTTCGGTAACATCGAGAGCTCCCTGGCCACATATATCCATACAACGTATAACCTTGCAGTGCAGTCTTTTCAACACGACAACAATAAGAAAGCTATTCATTCAACAGATCTTTCCGTGCTTTCAACATCGGCGCAGTAATAGCTGGTTAGATTTTGTGTATAGCGCACTTTTGAACTAAAGCGACACGACACGACAAAGGCTTGTCGGTGCACGATATGACACAAAGACGGTGTGTCGTGGCGTATGTGAGTAGCTAGCTGATTCGATTTTGTACAAAACGTACTTTTAAACTAACGCAACACGATATAGGCTTGTCCGTCTCCATATGACACAATTACGGTGAGTCATGGCGGGTATGAGTGGCAAGCTGCCATCATCGTAAAACGAAAGTAGAAATTTGTTGTTGTTACGTATCTCAAATATACAGGATTTACATTGTACGGACATGGTATTTGTACCACAAGCAGTAACAACGTGGCATCGTGACATATACTAGCAAATGTTGGACCAGACAGATAACCGTGCACTGGCCTGCGAGATGAGAGACAGTTACAACACACCTACCTAGACAAATGTCTTCCTCCGATGTGGCACAGAGGTCACTTCCGGCAGATGACACGTGACTAACATACTTGAAGTGTAATCTATCCGGTGCATGTTTACAGTGTTATTGCCTGACTGCATATTCATGCTGTCAGGCGAGCGTCCTCGATAATCTCCAGGGTATACGTTACGATCCCTCTCCACTATAACCTGGATGCATCCACGGCTTGCATCCAAATAGCTGTATTAGCTTGTCGTTTCCAACCTCACATAGTTAAACATCCATTCTTCGATCTTCTTTAATATACCTCCGTTGCGAAAGTGCAATTATAAATATTTTTTTTGCAAAATTAACATTTAAGCTCCCTTTTGTGCAAAATGTGGATGAAATATTGAAGTTCCTTTGTAAACCTATAACTGTGTCAGAAAATAGATATAAATCATCAGCATAGAATAATAAAGAACTCTAAAAATTCTGCTCCAACAAAATACCTTTTCGTCGTCAGACGATGTAAGATCCTCTTAGAGTTGTTTTACAAAGATACTGAATAAAAATGGACTTAGTATACATCCTTGGCGTACAGCAATCAAGGAATTGAAATATTCTTAAATACTACAATTTGATAGTTTTACAGCTATAGTTTTAATGTACGCAATATTGAAAGCATTTCCCCCGACTATTGTTTTGAGAAAGAATACACCATGACAGATCTCTATTTACACAATCAAATGCTGTATGGAAAATCAATATATAAACAATAAAAAACGACCTTTAGACTTAGACAAGTATTTTTGAATTAAAGCCTGTAAGGTGAAAATATTGTCAACAGCTGAATAGCTTGAGCGGAATCCAGCTTGACATTCTGTATTTAAATTATACTCATCAACAAATGATTTCAGACTTTCATTTAAAATATAAGTGAATATGTTTCGCATATGTCCATCAAGGAAATACCTCTATAGTTATTAACATCATGTCTGTTACCCTTCTTGTGAAGTGGGAAGATAACACTCCGTGACCAAGCAGAGTTAAAAATACAATTAAACAGTACATACAAATAAGGTAGTTAAATATGACCTCCGTGTTCCACATTTCAGGAGGCAGTCCATCAGGACCACATGCCAAGTTTTAAAGCTGATAATTTTGTTATTTCATTTATGATTATTTTTGTATTTATAATTTTATTGGAGTCATCATCAATCAATGTAAGTTCATTTCGCAATATATCCTGCTTGGCAAAGGTTATAACATTTTCGTCTATGTTAACATCTTAAATATTCAGATTCTGAATATTTTTAGAGTAGTCAACCCATTGCAAACTGCTGATAGATGTAGCCTGTGTAACCGGTTTACCTGATCATGACTTAACACCAGACCAGAAAGTTTTATAGTTACCATCCTTACATGACTTTACCAAATGATTTCACCAGGAGACATTTCTTTGTGAATTCTTACGGATGATGCACCAAGCAACGAAGTCTGTTGGCAGTTAAACTGGTATCATTGTATAGTAGGTGTGATCAAATGATGACACTTGGCCATTGCAGTGTGGAATATACCTCAGACATATTCTCAGCTAACTGAATCCTGCAAGTGTGCGTTGTTGTTAACAGATCTAGAGATACACAACAACACAGACGATGAAAGGTGTATAGCGGCATCATCATTATTGAAACAATGATGTGTAACGTCTAGTGGTGTTCCGATTAATTGAAATAATCGAAGATTGGTCGCAGTGACCAAACGACCAAGCAATCGATCACATTTTCTCATAATCGAACATAAACGATTTTGGAACTAATGCTTTAGTCTTTGAAATACTTGACGATGGAAAATATCGTTGAAGTTGTCAGGGCCTGAAAACATGTTTAATTCTTAGAAAACTCACTTCACTAACTGAAAACATATGACTGAATATTTCTTGAAGACTCCGGGAAGTTTATGTTTATGATATATTAGTCATCACTTTAAAGTAGCACGTTGCATCATGTTATACATATCTGCAATAACAACCTGGATAGGAAAATCTGAAAAATGACGCTTACCAATTTTTGTCGATGATTGTTCGTTGGTATTGAAGCAATCATCAGTTGTGAGATTTCAACCAATTCCCAACACTAGTAACGCCCCAGTCATCGTTGCCCGTCTGTTGTACACGTGACGTCAGGTCCTACGACTACATTTCAAATCCTGTACAACTGTCACAGCTGAGTGAGTCTCGGTACACCTGCCTTTTCAAAGCACGTTTTGATGCATTTCCCTGTTAAGCAATGTCTTAATGTTTTATTCTAATGCCCCTGCGATTACCACATGATTCGCTGAACATGATTATTGTGTTTCACTCTTTTTCACGTTTTTTTGACTAAATAGTTTTCTCGTCGGTCTCAAACACCATGTCCTTACCGTGTGTGAGACACAAAAACATCATGAACACGTTCATCCACCTCCCAATTGTGTACCAATAATATGGGTGTCACGTTTCTTATTTGGTTGAGTATAGATCAGATTTCAGCGAAAAAATATTTACTACGTGTCGGAACTTCAATGCTAATGCATCTTGACCATACTGTACCCCTTGCGATGTTCGTGTTAAAGAATTGATGGCGGGAGGCCACCAAGAGCTATCTCCCCTACTATATATTAATCGGCTGTGTTGTTTGTGGGCATGTGTACTCATGTAAACACGATGATTATTATTACGTGTTGGTGGGCTTGTTGTTTAAGGCCACGCTAAGCTATATGATCGGCGGTCTAGTGATTGACATCATGAGCTTCGATCTGATCAGTTTGGATGCGATGACATGCAGCAACCATGTCACCAGGCCTGGCCCTTCTATCGCGTTAGTAGCCTATTACGCCCTGTCGAACCATTCGGGAATGGCAGACTCCCTAGCTCTGCATCCTTCTGCAGAATCCAGAGTGTCAGAAGGTTTATGTTCTTGGCAGCAAATCCGGCAACTCTCACAATGTCGGTCAAGAGATACTGGCAAACAAGGATAAGTTGGCCGGCGTAGAGAACGCGTTTAGGAGAAGTAGGCGGTGCACGGCAATGAGCAAACCCATTTGGTTTGTGAAAGGTAGGCAGATGTAGGCAAGTGCACGTGCATCACATGACGATGAAATTGATTCAGCGCGTAGCTGGACACGCCTTGCTCATACGACTCTCACGTGGTCGGTGTAGCAAGTCGGTAATATTCGGATATATAGATATATATTTCGAGAGAATTCAACATGTCAAAGTTAGGTAAGCACGGTCAGATAATACATTCTCAGACCCGACGAGTGGCATACAATGTTTTTAAGCACATGGAGAAAGAATGTACATCTACAAAACAGGCAGTGTTAAAAGCTAGCAATGCCACCAGTTTATCTCTCTCTTCACTGAGGCGCATCCGAGCAGAGTGTGTCGATCGTGACAATGGGGAGGGTAGTTTCGCTAGCCCTAGCAAGTTGCGAAATCGTCCTGTGATTAAATCCCAACTCGATGATTTCAACCAGTGTGCAATTCGCCAGTTTGTGCAAAACGTAGTGCGAAAACAACTGCCAACTGACAGTATCCACGAGATGGTCAAAACAGATCTATACGGGTTCTCGAGAATGTTAGCTCTGAAGTAAACGGGATTTAGATGGTGCAAAACTATTGATGGAAAGGAAAGATGCAGTACTTACGAACAATTAATATATAACGAGCTGAAAACCGCCCAATCATTTTCATTGATGAAACGTGGTTACATGTGCACCACACGGTTAGGACCAATACTGCCTACAGTTCCAAACTGCCTACATCCCAAACTGCCAACAAAAACATTGTAGGCAGCGTGGGAAAAGAGTTTTTGCCCTGTAGAATAATGGAACAGCCCGAGTATCTATGAAGAAGGGGTGCTTCGTTTGGGGTAAGGGATAATTAAGGGGATTATATTAGTATATATCTGTGCATCTACTTCTGTGTATAGTACGTTGTGAGTCTTCTCATCCAATAAAGACTACAGGACAAGTACAATGATATTGTTTTATGTTGTTTTGGGAAGCAGTTAGCATGCTTATATTGTAATCTCCAAAGCAGGTTTAACTTAATCCTATTTGATCAAGTACGGTATGCTTGTTTTAACTATGTTGTTACAGGCTCTGTCTGTCTTTGACAGATTATGTCGAAAAACATGGTTAGGACTAAATTGTTGAGAAGATCTCATCTTCTCAGATAATTAAACTCCTAATAAATTAGAGGGGGAACCAACTGCATCCATCACACAATGGCAAATGTTCAACGTGTTCGATTCATCACTTCTTAAGCAGCTTTACATGTCTCCATGTATGGTCTGAGAATTCTCAGAAAGAATAAAGATGTCCTACCAACCAACACTTCTCATTTTTTAAACTTCTGTAGACATAGTGGGAAGACACCATAGAATTAACCAGCTAACTAGTCAATATTCCACCCAACTCTGTCATTGCTATGGACAAAGCTCCATACCAGCCCAACAACCACCAATAGGAAGGATGACATCAAAGCTTGGCTAAAATTGCACGATATTGCGTTCAGCGACAAAATTCTCAAAGCCGAACTGTTGCAATATCTTACAAAGCCGTTCCCGTATATCGCTGCAGCAACATGGGCATATCGTTCTGCGGTTACCTGCGTAACATGCAGATTTGAACCAATTGGGTTGATTTGGGCCAATGTGAAGAATCATGTTGCCAGGCAAACCTTGCAGTTCACAAAGACATCGCTTCAGGCACAATGTAAAGAGAGAATGTCAGCAATCGGTTCCAAGGAATGGTCGGAATGCTGTAAGCATGTCCAAGGTATTGAAGATAGGTACTGGCAACGAGAAATCGCGGTTGAAGCAGTAATGGAAGACATCATTGTCGAACTTGGTCTTACGAGTGAATCATTTAGCGAATCGGACTGTGATGATTAGTGTTGTTATAGCCCGCTGCCAGTATCAAGTTGACAGTGCACGGGCACACAAAAAACATAAACATATTATTAAGGGATTGTTACATAGGTCCTATGACACCTTGGCATTACGTATTTCAAGCATGGCTGGGTAATGTTTATGCCAGGTAGAAGAACGTTCTACTTTGCTTCATTACAATGTGATTCATTCACTTTTAGAAAATAAATTTGTTTCATTTTCAGCAAGTACACATGTGTATCTTATGCACACACAATTGCAGACAGATGGACAGTTATGTTTTTCAGGTCACACTTCATATTAAAGGCAGATTCTGTAAAGGTATAAAACATAGTAGCTTATGAGCCAACTATTAATGGTTATGAGAGACTATAAATTCCCATTTATTTCTTAACGTAAAATGCAAACAAATGCACCTCGATCTCGGTATTTGCTGAGACAGGCCACGCGTTGCACATATCGCTCTACACTTGATTGCGGACAACCTGGGCCCCTTCGCTAACAATGGCAAGCGCCAGTGGGCGGCACTCATACACGCTGATACGGGTCAATCATCAGGTTGGTGCTCAATTTAACCTTTTTTGCCAGTAAGTTTATAGAGTGACTGCAGTTCTTAACATTTGAATGTTTATATAGATGTTATAATTTTTAAAGGTGAGGTGAGGTGAAATTGGGTTTAACGTCGTCCTTGAGAATATTCCGCTCATATGACGACGTGCATGCGTGTGTATGTGTATGTGCGGCTGCTTGTACTAGCCCAGACTTAAGCTGGTTTTATAGTGCTAGCTAACTGAGATACCAGTGAAGCATGAATACCCCACTCAGACACAGTATACTGACTCTGAGCCGACCAGTCCTTGTTGTACCCATTAATGCCGAGCGCCAGGCAGGGACCAACAAGTACCATATTTTAACATCTTTTGGTATGACGCGGTCGGGGATCGAACCCGCGACCTTCCACTCTCCGGACGGACGTTCTAACCACTACACCACGGAGGCGGTCTATAATTTTAAAGTCTCTTATAACTCTGTACAGGATGGCTCGTTACTTTTAGGCCTATATTGTCTTATGTTATGTATAGTTTTTATCATGTATATATTATGTATGTACGTTTTTATCATAATGACTGTAACAAGGTGAGACTATATTAAACAATCTGTCTGTCTGTCTGTATGTCTACAAAGCCTATGCACTAAAATTGGTTTGGTTGGTTGGTTTGTTGTTTAACGACGCACACAGTAATATTCTAGTCATATGGCGGCGGTCTGTAAATAATAGAGTCGGTACCAGACAACCCAGTGATCAACAGCATGAACATAGATCTACACAACTGGGATACGATGACGTGTCAACCAAGTCAGCGAGTCTGACCACCCGATCTCGTAAGTGGCCTTTTACGATAACATCTGTGCACCGAGAACAATGGTGAGTCGGACAATTTGAAATTAGTCATAGCTAAATTATTTATTTATTTCTTAAGTACACGTATTACTACATATTTGTGACACAGGCACTTCGACTTCTCGAATTCCTGTGTAAACGCGAGGACGTACGCACGCATACACACACACACACACACACGGCAGTTCGTGTTGTGTTTACTTTACTCTATTTCGACTTCCCAAACACCGCAACTCCATCGGTTAAGATTGTTTACATAAACACGTGACAAACAGGCCAAAAGCGTTGTATATTTCACACAGGTGTTCGCCAGAATAGTCACGTGCTGCCATGGTTACGAGTTTAGCCAGTCGGGACATACTTCCGTTGCACGAACTTTTCATGCGCGTTATTCACACCCTTTGGTGGAAGCAGACGTGCCGAAATGTTAAAAATGACGCGGTGTATGTCAAGTTAATATGGTAACGTCGTTTAACAATTATATATTGCAGATTCAATGTGTTGAGACTGCGTTTTCTCGTGTTTCGATTACTTTAGCGCTACTCTGAAAGTTGTGTTTTCAATTGACGAAGAAAACGTGACTTCCAGCCCTACAATATTGTTTTGATTGCAATGAACGTTGAAGAACACTAGCTGAGTAGAAAGTGCTTCAACACAAACATGCAATAACGGTTCGCTCTTGATAAAAATATAATGTATATCATTTTGTCAAATATAGTATATTGTTTGTGTAATTTGTTCGAATCACCGACGACGTCAGGAGCTATGTCAAAAGTCACAGTTAGGAATAATCTAAGCTTTAACTTTTAGTTGTGAGAGTCAAAGTTTATTTCGCTGCTACATAAAATACATTTCAAAGATTAAGAATGACTACCGGGTATCTAAAATATTATGATACAAGTTCCTGCTCTTTTCACCATATTTTAACCTGTGATACTATCACTAAAAACGATGTACAAATAGTAATTCTAACAATATCCTATTTGTTGCCATTGTTTGAGGTTGGACAAACCAAAATATATTATTAAAATAGCAGCTTTTTGAATTGAAACAACGACCCGATTTTTGATTGAAATGCCTTTTGCAATCACAAATACAAGTAATTTGTGGTAGACAACTCATTTTTCAGTCCAAATGTTTGTATTATTACTCGGCACAATTGTTTTTCGATAACTTCCCAGACTTTCTCCGGCATTGTAACCATTCACATTGGGCATATATAGTTTTCAGTAAATGTTGGCGTCCTTGTCATCTTCATCTATTTAAACGATGGAATCTTTCATTGGAGATGGAGTGGTCATCGTTCTATATACAATAACGTGTATACTTCTATATTGGAACGAATGAAAAGACATGAGTAGCAAAAACAACTACCCCGCTATTCCTACATGGGTGAGTGAGTTTGGTTTTACGCCGCGTTTAGCAATATTCCAGCAATATCACGACGAGGGACACCAGAACTGGGCTTCACACATTGTACCCATGTGGGTAATCGAACCTGGGTCTTGGGCGTGACGAGCGAACGATTTAACCACTAGGCTACCCTACTGCCCTTCACTTTTTCTACATATCTCCAGGGCTTGCATGTTTGTAGGGTGGGACATAGACTTTGAAACAATGGTGGCTCCAGTAAATGTTTTTCGGCGTCACTAACTTTGTCAACCATGAAAAATGTCAATGAAATTAATTAATTATTCCATCATTTATTAAAGCGAGGCTATAAAACATATTGTGTGATTTGTCCGATTGCAATTTACAGTCAGAAAATTTCAATTGTTTATTGTACTAAGTGAAATTATTTGGACTCAAGATTCACATATTTAAAATATATAAGTAAATATTGACAGACAGATAGGCAGACAGTTTTATTCAATGAAAGGCCACTGGTCCATAATACACTCAAATACATGATCACACATCACATGAATGGTACACTTGAATTTAATTCACATTTCTTTTTTCTCTTAATTCTAATTTGATTAAAATGTATTTTGTTCATAATACTCTTTGTACATTCTGTGGGACTGAGCCTGAATCCATACTTCTTCTCTTCTGGAATTGTAGAATAAGTAAAAACATTTATCGAAAAGTTTCTCAGTGGATTGAGCTAAACCGCTAACACACATGTATTATGAATTTCCAGGTTGATCTAACCCTTTTCGGGTGTTCATCAACATTTCAAAATGATTGTAATTAGGGCTCCTTGCCTCTAGTCAGGAGACCTATTGTAATCGTTCGCATTATTATTTATATGTTTTACAGATTAAAGATAATTTGCAGCAGAGGGGGTTCGGGTGATCCTGGCACAGTCCGGCTGGTAAGGCTCATCATCAGCTCAGGGCCCTTGCCCCCTCTACACGCAGCCCAGACAGCGAATGGGACTTCTCCCATGAAACACTGCCTAGTCGAACCCACCAAGAACTTTCTGGAGAATATGAAGGCTCCCCAACACTGCAGCCTTCTGCATTACCCAGAGCGTCAGAAGGGCTGTGCTCCCGGTGGAGAACCCAGGCACTCTCCTGATCTGCACCAAGAGATCAGGAGGTACCAAACCAAGGGCACCGAGGACAACGGGGAGCCTGGCGACAGTGTACTTGGGATGCAAGCGAGACATTTCAAAGGCGAGGTCCGCATATTTATCATGCTTTTCCTGAATCTTGCCAATCACATTCCTGTCAAAAGGGACAGACAATTAAATGATATAAATAAATTCATTGACTTTATCAAAAAGGACAGGATCAGGTTTGTTCAGGCTGTATATGGGCCTATTCCACAGAAGTTTGAAAGCATCATTTTCCATGACGCCCTGGACATGGACCATGGACGGACCTCGGAGTCAAAGCCACAGGCATGTCGGAGACAGTAGTAAAAGCAACGAGCCATGCCATCATGTCGTTTAAGGTATGGTGTTTGTGCCAAGGAAGGGCATCCACTGACAAGGTGTTGGACAGTCTCCGTGAATTCATTGCAAAGTCGACATTTCATATTGATATTTTCTTTAAGAATCACATTTAGGCAATTACGAGTGGGAAGTGACTGGTCCTGAGCAGCAAAAAGGAAGCCCTCAGTCTCACATTTAAGACCAGCCGACTTCATCCAGGCGAAGGAGTCGGTGGGATTGCTATTCTGTTCAACACACTGCATGTATACACGATGCACTGTCTTCTCAGAAAGCTTCTCCACAAAAGACCAACTCTGGGCACACTTGGTGAAGGCCTTCACCTGGTTTACTCCAATCGCTGTACCGTCCAGCAGTACATCGCCATCAACAAAATCAACCTCAAATATCAGATTCTGTCCAACAACCTTGCCACGCTTAAAATAGCTGTGGAATTCCTTGCTTTCATCATGAGTCTTCACATGCATCACCAGAGGATTATCCGATAAATAAATATGTGCAAAAGTACACAATAAAATTCTATCATGAAGAGCCTCCACATTAATGAAACCCCGACCTCCAGAATTGATTGACATGTATAAACGGTTAAGAGAGGAACGAGGGTGGTGGGCTCTGTTATCAGACATGATCCTTCTGGTCAGACAGTCAAGACTCTGGATGTCTTGTTTTGTCCAATCAACTACTCCAAAGGAATAGGAAAGGACTGGCACAATAAAAGTATTGGTGGCTTTGACCTTTGTTTCGAGCATTTAGCTCTGAGCTCCAAATTTTCTTTAAACGAGATTTGTACTCTGCCCGAAGTTTGTTTTGAATCTGGGCATTCTGGAGCTTGTCTCGAACTTGCATTCCAAGATTGGTGTAGGCCTGATCCTCCACAAGATGCTCAATAACTCCTCCCCCTTGTAACTTGACCGATCCATCATTAGTTACCTTGCCACGTTTCAAATGAAGAATATTACATTTGTCGAGTCCAAATGTCATGCCAATATCATTCGAAAAGGACTCAACAAGGAGAACCTGCTCTTTCAAATTGGAATCTCCTTTGGCAAGGAGCTCGATGTCATCCATATAAAGGAGATGAGTAAGCGGTGTTGGGGATCTGTGCTGAGGAGGTCCGGGATGGTAACCCTCCTCTTTATTGAGCAGAAAGCTCAAAGAATTTAAAGACAAACAAAAAAGCAAAGGACTAAAGGAATCCCCCTGAAATATTCCCCTTCTGATTGGAATAGATTCCGAAGTCTGCACCTGCCCTTGCGAGTAGATCTCAAGTTGAGTCGACCAGCAACTCATTAAAGACTTGAGTAAATCAAGTAGTCGCTCAGGGAGGTCAATACAATGAAGAGACTTCAAAATCCATTCGTGAGGGACAGAGTCGTATGCTTTTTTGTAGTCAATCCAGCACATGGAGAGGTTGCGGTGATATGTTTTAGTCTCTTCCAAAATCACTTTCTGTACAAGAAGTTGATCCTAACACCCCCAACATCCCTTTCTTTCCCCCTTCTGCTCTCTGTAAATTATATCATTGGAAGAGCAGTAAGATGACACAAGGTTTGTCAAACACCCTGTAAATATTTTGTATTCAAACATGTGATAGGGCGGAAGTTTTGGGGATCAGTCAATTCTCCTTTTTGGGGAAGGAGTAGTGTGTGACCTTTGCAGAACCATGGAGGAACATCACCTGTGTCCACAAGAGAATTGAAACAGTGAAGTAATGGTGTTTGGACACAGGGGAACAGTTTCCAATACCGGTTTCGAATGCCATCAGACCCTGGAGCTGTATTAAATTTTTGATGACACTTTTCAGGCAATCTGGTGAGTTGTAACAGACAAACGACCTAGTTACTTTCTCATGCATTGCATGGTCATAATCACGGACCCATGGTGCCTCAAGGTTACAGTCGCCGGGTACAGACCGCAACTGTTTCCAGATCTTTTCATTAGCATCCATGGGAGGCCGTTTATCATGCTCACATCACCGTTTGTTTTAAGTTGCCCGTCGAAGTGTTTTTCATTATTTCTAAAAAGTTTATTTTGTTTGATGAATTTTTTTATTTATTATTCCACCGATTTTTTCACCAAACATACCTCCTAAACCAATGCTCCGAATCGCTTACAAAAATCACACAGATGCCCACCGAGGTGTAGATATTCCCCTTAAAAATCTCTAGGCTCTAGGCCCAATAGCAAAGGGGAGATAATTCAAAATAAATTTAAAAAGTTCAAAGTTCCACAGCAAATATCCCAGGAACTAATTGTTCCAACATTTCCAAATCTCTTGTACAGATGCACAATCAAAGTCTCAACAATTTTGCCTGAGTGGTCAAGTCGCTAAAATGTACCTTTTGGCAGTTATTTTTGTATTCAGTTTTTGGCCATGTTCTTCAGCAGTTTTCTGAGCAGTTTGCTCCCAACGTGCTGAGCTCGAACCATCAGCTCTAGCCCAATGGTTAAAGCGTTCGCTCGTCACGCCGAAGGCCCGGGTTCGATTCCCCACATGGGTACAACTTGTGCAGCTCATTTCTGGTGTCCCCCACCGTAATATTGCTGGAATATTGCTTAAAACGGCGTTAAACCATACTCAGCCAGTCAGCTTTAGCATTGCAGAGAAGGCTAGACAGATGGGAAAATGATGCGGTTTAGGGATTGTGGGACAGTCTACCTCTGATAGGGTATAAAGTATTTTGGCTGGAAAATAGACTTCCACAGGTGTCTAATACATGACAGTTTTAATAATTTCTAAAAACATATGAATAAAACGAACAAATTGTCCCTCAAACCGACTGGCGCCCTTTCGAACTGTCCACAAATCTAAACTTGCACCTTTAAAGGATAGAATTAGTATACATTCATTGGCTTAGCATCTGGCAAAGACAGGTACGGCTAGCTGGGGAGGCGGCGTGTTTCCATGCCCAACAGTCATGACAGAGTAACTATAGCGATATGCGAAGTCGGGCTGTATTTAACATACACTAAACGCCCAAAGAAACGTTAACACACACACACACACACACACACACACACACACACACACACACACACACACACACACACACACACACACACACACACACACACACACACACACACACTGACGGAGGTACCTATCTACAGCTGGCGTTGTGATGCGTGGACGTCCACTTCTTGGTCTGTCTACGGTGACCCCAGTCTGTCTGTAGTGCTGAGACCGCCTCCGTGGTGTTGTGGTTAGAGCGTCCGCCCGGAGAGCGGAAGGTCGCGGGTTCTATCCCCCACCGCGTCATACCAAAAGACGTTAAAATATGGTACATCATATGTGATGTCCTTCACTGTCAATCAAATACATAAACCAGACCCACTGTCCCTTGTTTGCATAATTTAATGTTTGAGACGTTGCACACCCAGGTGACCCTTTAATTGTGACGCTGAGTATATGATTTCTGTAACGCCTGAAATCCAGGTTGTTTTCACCTTTGTTTCTGACAGGATTGTCATGTGCTCATGTTGAGGTTAGTCTGTATGTTACTGGGTCAGAATGAATGGCAATGTTTGAGAATGTGTATCTGGACACAGGAATTATTAGTTTTGTTTTAACAGATTTGTTGTCACTGAGATGCCTGTTAGTTTAGTAAAAGTATTTGTACATGGTTGTGTCCTGTTCTTATTGGTTGG